ATTTCAAGAATATATTTCAATTCTTTTAAAAAAATCTTATTTGGCACTTAAACTTTTATACAACAATAAAAAGATTATTAATTATAACTTAAGGAAAAAGTTAGTAGTAACACTTGTTTTACCGTTTCTCAATTATGGGATTATTCTCTATTACCCATGCCTTGACCAAATAAACAAAACTAGAGTTCAAAAAATTCAAAATTCATGCTGCAGGTTTGTATTTGGCCTTCATAAATATGACAGAATTTCTAGCAAAATTAATAATTTGGGTTGGTTAAAAATTGAAAATTTATTTAAATATAATTTGTCTGTTTTTGTTTACAATTTACTTAAATCCTCAACGCCTTTGTATCTTCGTAAAAAACTAACTTTTAGATATAACCTACACGATTTAAATATTAGATATAAATTTAAGTTATCCTTACCAAGATTTCGATCAGCCATCTTCACGAGATCATTTTCGTATAACGCACCCTGTATTTATAACGCCATTGATGATAATATTAAGTCTCAGTCAGAAAAACGCTTTCGCAAGGAAGTTAAGGCATGTTATTTTTCTTTACAGATTTAATTATTTTATTAGGTTAAGTTAGATTTAGTATTAGGTTAAGTAAGGGTTAAGTGGAGTAGCCTGGCTAGACTTCGCCTTTTAATTATTGTATTTTGTATACGTAATTAATAAAGACATTATTATTATTATTATTATTATTATTATTATAACCTATTACTTCGTCTTTCCAATTTTCAGGCAATACACATCTCGATATTTATGTTGATGATGCTTTCGAGCAGATAAAAAAGTTTTGCAAGGAAGCCAAATGTCTTTATTAAATTTCTTCACTTCTTCTCTTTTCTCTCGAAAAGTAGGGTTTTCACTAAGCAAGTTACACAAAAACACTCCATAATTATTTTGCATCACAAAAAATATTTCTTTAAATTATTTCTCGAGAGACATAATAAAACACGTGGTCAACTGAAAAAATGTTTGCACGCTTATGGTCGACACTAACGTGGGATACTTAATACCACAGACAAACACCAGACAACCGACTCAATGTTTATTTCTTAATGTACAATCCGATTTAAATGTTCTAAGAAAGTGGTGTGAAATTAATTGTATGCAGTTAAACATTTCTAAGTGTAAGGTAATGCGGTTCTCCCGATTAAAACAGAGCATTTTATTTCCATATGTAATAAATTATGTTAAATTAGAGTCTGTGAATTGTATTAAAGATTTGGGGGTATATTTTGCTGTTAAAATTTCATTTAATTACCATATTGATGTCATAAAAAATAGGGCATTAAAAATGTTGGAATATGTTAAAAGATATTGTGCCTTTAAGACATCTATACCTACAGATAATTTGGTTTACCCTCAGTTAAGAAGTAAATTAAACCTTAAAACGCTTGAATGTAGAAGACTAGAAAATGAACTTTTATTTATTTATTTATTTATTTTTATTTAAATTAATCAACTCTTACATAAATTGTCCCTACTTACTTAGCAAACTGAACTTTCATGTTCCTAAACGAACTGTTAGAAATCAATCTATGTTTTACCTCTCAACTCATAATACAAATTACGGCCACTTTATGCTTATCGACAGAATATGTAGAACTGCCAACAATTTTAATTTGTCATTTTTTAATGTTACTTTACAAACATTTAAATCTGAACTTAAACTAAAGCTGCAATTGTGATTTATTTATTTACTGTGTATACACGTTGTATTTATTATTTTTATACATATTCTATATTTTGTCATGGATTTTTTTTTCGTTAATAAAATTTATTATTATTATTATTATTATTTTTGGAATGCAGTGGATGTGTATTGATAGGGGGCGCTATATGCTAAAATATTGTGCGGGAGCGGGAAATTTAAACAATATTTCTATTTTTATGATTGTATTTAAAGAGAAATGATAAAAAAACAATGTTAGTAATGAAACAAATACATGTATTGTTATAATTTACAAAATTAACATAAACTTCATACAATTTTATTTAATATTTAATTCGTCTTCTGTTCCTGTCCATATACATATAACGTCGTCTATATACCGTTTCCAAAGTTTTATATATTTTATATAGTTGTTCGATGAGTTAAGTATTTTTGTTTCTATTTGGTCCATGAATATGTTTGCCATTAGACATGCATTTGGTGCTCCCATTGAAAGTCCGTCTGTCATTTTATAAATATTGTTGTTAAAATTACAATAGGTTTGTTCTGTTGTGTGTCTTATGATTGTTTTAAGGTGGGATATTTCTTCCTGGTCTTTTATCTTGTTTTCAATGTTTTTAAATATAATGTTTAGAGTTTCTTGAACAGGAATGTTCGTGTATAAATTGGTGACGTCGAATGATACGAGTATGTGGTTTTGACCTGGTTTAATTTGTTGTATTATATTAACGAGTTCTGTGGAGTTTTTAATTGTGTGTTTTGGTTGTAATTCTATGATTTCGTTTATAGTTTTTAGTGTAAATTTGTTTAGTAAATATGTTGGTGAATTAATAAAGGAAACTATTGGTCTGATAGGGTGGTCTGTTTTGTGAAGTTTTGGTTGTCCATATATTTGTGGAAGTTGCGGGTTCATTGGGATCAGTTTTTTGTAATTTGGTTCGTATTTTTGGATTGTTGATGTGCAGTTTTTTATAATTGCTTTGGTTTTTGTAATAATTGTTTTTAGGGGATTTTTTTCCAATTTTATAAAATTGTTGTTGTTAATAAAAGTTGTGGTTTTATTTATATAATCTTTCTTATCCATTAAAACAATTCCTGCATTTTTATCAGGTTTTGTGACGATTATTTCTTGTTTTTTTATCTTTTTCTTAAGGTTTTTTATGATTTGTTCTTCTTCGTTGTGGGTTTTTATTATGTTCTTGTTTATGTTCTTGTTTAATTTTATTATTTTTTCTTCGTTTTTCAGAAGTTGGATGCTTTCTGATCTTAGTTTTTCTTCTTCTGGTATTCTTCTTATTGCTGCGTCTATTTCGATGGCTAATATATCTAATTTAGTTTCTTTCGGTATTGCATATTTGAATCCCTTTCCCAATAAGTTTTCTTCATTTTTTGTGAGTGTTAGTTTTGATAAGTTCGTGTATCTTGGATGGAATTTGTTTGTTCCTTTGTTTTCTTTTTCGTGTTGTTGTTTTTTGTTGTTCATTAAGAAACAATAAAACAATACAGAAAAATAACATACCAGGGACAAATAAAAAATAATATCAATACAATTTTTAAAAAATATAACCTAAAAACAGCTATAAGGACAGAAAATAACATTTATAACATTTTAAAAAATGCAAAAGGAACAACACCTATTTTACAAAAAAACGGAGTATATAAACTAACATGCAATGACTGTAACGCAGTGTACATAGGAGAAACCGGAAGAAGTTTTGAAACTAGAATCGAAGAACATTTAAAAAAAAAATTCAAACTTCGGTCACCATCTAATAGAAACAGGACATACATTTAACAAAAAAGAAGAAATAGAAATTTTACATATTCAAGAAAAAAATCAAAAACTCACACTATTAGAAGCGTACGAAATTGATAAACAACAAAAAAACAATAAACAAAAAAGCCTCAACAAACAAGTAAATTTATTCTATAAACCAATTTTTAAATTCTTGAATATTAAAATTTAAGAAGGCGACCCTGGATAACCATCTGATACATTTTTAACCTAACATTTTAATAACTGTGTATTTGTTCTATTTTATTTATTTACTAATATAAATTGTATATATGTTTAATGTAATGAATGTAATAAAATTGTGTTTATATTTAAATTGACGTGTAAGTAATTTTAAAGAAATATTTTATAATAATTTAATTTTCGTTTGTAATAAATTGTAGAGTCCCCTGATGATGGCCTAGGCCGAAACTAGTAGGGATATAAAAATAATAAATATAATTGCAGAGAATTGCCCTTTTTATTCATATATATATATATATATAATGCTACTGCAATGGATCATATAATTCAAAACATTATTATTATTATTATTATTATTATACAAAGTAAAATTTTTTGAATTATCCAATTTTCACAATCCGACAGATAATTATTGGATTCTTTGATGAAAGAAATTAAAACTTAATTTTCGGATAAAATTTTTTTACCATATCAGACGTAAATTAGAAAACTTTATTATTTATTTATTTTGAACAAGGATAATTGGAGTCATTATTTAACTAAAAAAATAACTTATATACATATATATATATATATGGCCGAAAAGTAATCTCTTGATTTAAGAAAATGCATTTATTTGAAACAGGTTTTCTTGTATGAAGTAAAATTTTCTTATTCGTAGTAACTTGTTGTTTACAATAAGAAAATACTATTGTTTGGTTGTAAATCATTAGTTTCTTGAAAACAACTTATTGTTGTGATTAATTCTAAAGAAATATTTATTTAGAGTAATTAATTAAATTGTTTGGATGTAGGTTGTGTGGAGCATATAATATCAAAATAATAGAATTGATACAATGTATATCGTATAATTAACGAAAATACATGATTTGTTTGTTTCAAAAGTACATTTACTTAAAGCCAATACATATTTATTTGCTTTTATGTCCACGTGAATCGCGGAGCCAATTAGAGCATTTTCCTTCAAAGACAAAGACGCTTGTCCAGATTGGGCGATTTTTCACAAATTGGGCGATTTTTAACTCGCTCTGGCGACCATAAATTTACAAAAATCACAAGTCGCCATTTGGGCGATTTTCGGCGCTAGACCGGCGTCAGCCCCAAGGAGGGTAAAATAATTCTCCTTGACTCACCAAAGCTATGATCAGAATAATTTAAATAGGTCCATCGACATAAAACATTTTTTATATCGATGGTTAATGCGAAATTGCGAACGCACTGCACTGTCGGAACGCAGCGCTGAAATTTCGCGGCAGAATAACAAAATGTGACATTTCGAACGTCAAACATTTTTTCCAAAGCTCTTCTTTAAGTTTTCGGGCACCCTGTGTTAAAAAATGGGTAAATGGGCAAAATATACGAAGAAACACAACAAGGACTGGAAACGTGAACCAACATTTAAAGGTTAGTATTTAAAGTTTGGTAAATATGTAGTAGAGTCACAAAACTTCTAATTTTGTGAGTAGAGTAAACGGCAAAGCAAAGTAAAAGGACCCATTTTGGCGGGCTGCGTATTAACCAAAATCTATAGTTAAAGCCATTTATGTGTTTGTTTATTGGAAAATATACAAATATACTGTACTTTTAGGATGGCTTACTTCCAAACAACAGAGTGTTTGTGCTAGTAGTAGTAGTAGCAATAATATTGGTGATGGTGATGTAAGTTACTGTAAAATTTGCTCAGTGGAATTACGGTCTCACAAAGGTGATTTATTGAAGCATGCAAGTACATCTAAACATAAAATAAACATGGTTAAATTAGGAAAATCTCAATCAAGAATTAATAACTATTGTATTTACACTTCAAAAAAGTTTTGTTAAAATACTTTTTGAATTCTAAATATTTTTAGGTACTTCTACAACACAACAAATGGAAATAAAAAAAAAGGAACTGATTTTGGCAACCTATATAGCTAGCCTCAGTGCTATTTTTGGAATTGATCACTTGAGTGAGGTAATAAATAAGATTAATGTAAAATCAAATACAGCTAAAAAAGGAGAAGATATTCTACGTTTGCATAGAACAAAATGTTCTGCATTAATTAAGGCTGTAATTGCACCATCTTTGTTGCATGATTTTATCATGGAATTGGGAGATTCTCCTTTTTCTATAATTCTGGATGAATCCACAGATGTTTCCACAGAAAAACTATTGTGGATTTGTGTAAAATTTTATTCTAAGCAAAGAAATACGATTGTTACTCAGTTTTTAACATTTTTAAGTATAGTTCAAGCAACTGCACAAAATATTTATGATGTCATAAATTTTTTTTCCAGTAAAAATATCAAACTTAAAAATCTTATCGGTATTGGTACAGATGGTGCTAATAGTCTGTGTGGTAAAAATAATTCTTTTTATACTTTATGTAAAGCTAACTTAAATCTGAAAAACTTGGTTTTAGTAAAATGCATATGTCACTCATTGCATCTATGTGCATCTAAAGCTTCAGAAGTATTTAAATATGAGGTTGATTTCTTGTCAAAAGAAACATATAATTGGTTCAGTAATAGTGCTTTAATAATAATAATAGTTTTATTGTCATAAGATCATTACAATGATATCGACAACGTCAAGAGGTTACAATAAATTAATAATATACCTACATATATAATAGTAAATTTAAGATTAAAATACATTATTTAAAATCATTAAAATATTAAGTAAAATACCTACACTAACAAATTAAAAGTTTATAAATTCATTAAAAGAGTAAAAACAGTTTTGGAGAAGAAAATCTTTTACAGCATATTTATATTCTGTAATTGATGGGATGTCCTTAATTTCATTTGGTAACTTATTTGTAACTTGAACAGATCTGTACAAAACGCTTCGATGATACAATTCGGAATAATGTGTGGGAACCCTTAGCAATGTACCTCCCCTGGTATGCATACCATTAAAAACATCATTATTTCTGACGAATAAGTTTAAATTTTGTCTCACAAACATCAAAAGATGGTAAATATATAGACAAGGCAGCGGTAATATTTGATGCGTTTTGAAATATTCTTTGCATGATACACTTCTGCTTATTTTTAACATTGCTCGCATAGCACGTTTGTGGCAAAATACAAAGAAATATTTGATCTTATTAATACAAATAATGAAAATAAGTTCTCAAAATTGACACAACTCTCTTCAACTAGGTGGTTGTCTAGGTACAAGGCTGTAGAAAAAATTCTAGGACAATATTTAGAGTTAGAAACATTTTTTTCTATACATTATTTAACAGAAAAATGCCATACAGCAAAATTATTGCATGAGTCTTACAAAAATAAAGAAAACAAGCTTATTTTACACTTTTTGGTTCCTATTTTAAAGCAGGTTTATAACTTGAATTTGTATTTCCAGGAAAGTGATGTTGATCACCATAAAGGTTTCAATGATGTTATTTTACTGATATGGTCATTAGCGGGACAAATATTAAAGCCTCCCTTAGTTCAAGAACTTAAAATTCAGAATGATATTGATGTGTTAAATAATTCATTAAAATTTGAAAACAATTTCTTGAAATTTGAAAATTGCGACTTTGGATATTATTTTAACATTGAACTAGAAAATGCTGATTTGCCTGCTGAAGAGGTGCAAGCATTAAAACAAAAATGTCTTGATTTCATCAAAATTCTTATTCAAGAACTTATCAAGCGTATGCCTTCTCATTTAGATGTGTTTTCCAAAATAAAAATATTTAGCCCTAAAATAATATTAAATCACAAAAGGCCAAACTTTGCAGAGCTGCCTCTAAAATTTTGTAATTCAAATTCCATTTCTGAAATGGAAGTTGAATACAGAAATTTATTAACTTTGAATTGGAGAGAAATTTTTGAAGATAACATTCCTGATCACCCTATAACTTTTTGGAAAAAAGTTATAACTCTAAAAAATGCTGGGGGTCAATTACTTTTTGAAAATTTAAGCTTGTTTGCTTTTTCTTTGCTAAGTTTACCAAGTTCAAATGCTGTGGTTGAAAGGGTATTTTCTATAATGAACATTGTTAAAACAAAAATTAGAAATAAAATGTTAATAAAAATGTTAAATTCTATATTATTTATAAAATATTATTTATACAGTTATAATATATGTTGTAAAACATTTGAGCCAAGTGCTCAAATGTTATCCAGATTTACATCAAATATGTATTTGGACAATCCTGATAATACGCCCAATGATTTGGAATTTGAGGAGACTGAAGAGGTTTTACAACATTGTGAATTTTAAACTTCTCCAGCTTCCTCAAATTTAATGTGTTATTTATAGATTGAGTTCTTTTCTTTCTCCCGCCCGCCCGTGAAACAAATAATACGAAAGATGTAGTTGCCTTTGTAACTTATTTTCACGTTTATGCGGAAGGAAGGAACGTATTCTAAAGTTAATTAAACGATGTTATTTTAATAAAAATTATGCGTAAACATGTTGAGTTATTTTTTTATTTTACAAGTAAAAATTCACAAAAAAAATTATTTAAAAAAACTGACGACTTTTACTTTATTTTGGCGACTTTCGCCGCCTCTGGTGGCGACTTTAAATTTTTTTATCTGGCAACACTGCTTGCCGGCCTGCACTCGCATCACAAGACAAACCTATATCCTTTTTCTATGGGACAAACTCGAAGGACGTGGTCTATCAATCAACGGTTATGCACACATAAAAATGTATGTTTTGAAACAAACAAATTCATTTATTTAAATGCGTATACTAAATGGAAAGGTATTATATTTAAAACAAATCTATAATTATTTATATGATGCTAGTAATTTATTTAAACTGAATCTTTGATTTGTTTAAAAGATATTTTAAACTTTACTTTACGAGTGAATATCAAAGCTATTATACTTTTATTAAGATTTTTACCAATATTTATGATAAACATTCAAATAAAGTCATTTGAAATAATGCGATATTCTAAAAGAAATATATTCAATTACTTAAAATAAAAATACATCTTAATTTCGTAAAATAAACAAATAAATTGTTTAAGTACTGTATTAAAATATGGATTAGCATTGAAACAAACATTTCAAGTTGTTGTAGTAACTGTAAATTTAAAATTAATCATATCGAATGTTTAAATTGACCATATGCAAGGATTGAAATCAGGTGTACCACTTGTGGAAAAATAAATAAATTTAGTTCCAAAATAATTATTTTTTAAACTTTTCGTCAAGTTATTATCATTCATTCCCTTTTATATTTAAGAAGTTTTGAGTAACTGAAAACTACTTAAATATTAAAGTGGAAAAATGACAGTTACTTAGCAGAAAGTTTAAAAAATAATTATTTTGTAACCAAATTGATTGAATTTTTTTACAAGTGGTGCACCTGATTTCAATCCGTGCATATGGAATATGGTGAAATCAAAGAACACCAAAGAAGCAAAAGTTCCTGGTTAAAAGTTGGCAACACAATAATCGCCCGAAAGTCTGAGATGCGCTTGACACAGGTCACAAGGCTACCAACTTACACAACATAATGTAACGTACAACCTTCATGTCTATTATGTTTTAGATAAAAATGCATAGATGGCGCTGATTATTTTCTTTCTTTAGGCGGGAATTTTAAATGTAATGTACAGGTATAATGCTTTTAATATAAGAATAAATAAAACTAGAAAGTTTTTATACATAAAATTTAATAAGTAAACTAATATTAAACAGTATAAGATAAATTTTACAAAATTAAACAATATAAAATTAGTATTAAAAAATATAAAACTAGTATTAAACGATATATAACAAATTTTAAAAAACATAAAATTAATATAAAACAGATTTTACAATAAACCACTAATATTAAACAGTATAAGGTAAATTTTACAATATTAAACAATATTCAACTAGTTTTAAACAATATAAAACAGATTTTACAATGTTAAACAATATAAAACTAATATTAAACAAATTTTACAATATTAAGCCTTACAAGATTTTTGAAATAACTAATGAAATGAAATGAAATAGCTAAAATTTTAAATTTTTTTAATATTAATTTATATTGTTTAGAGAAAAACATTTTTTATAGAAAAATACTAATTATTTATTATATTGACCCTAGATAAAACATTTATGATTGACATTATTTTGACAAACTAATAAGAATTACAAGTCAAAATAAAAAATTTCTCACCAGTTCCTGAAAGTTCCTCGGACTGCTTGTGGCTCCTATTTTGAAGATGAAATCCTTAAGCTCTTGATCTCCTTTTTGGATTCCTGTTGCTTGTTTGCCTAAAAGTTAGATATAATAATATAAACAGCATTTAATTGTACCTAGCAATTTTAAGAATAATTGTTGCTTGTTTTTAGACGATGGGCGTGGCTTTATAAAACAGCTGATTTTATAAAGCCCGTAAAAACCGATAAAATTCTTAAAACTTGTTTTTAATAACTGAACAAACATGCGAAGAATTAATAATCACTTTTTGCTTACCTAACTTTGTTTTTTTTTTCACTTTTTACAGCACTTTCCAATACGAACAAAATTTGACAGCATCTATTCCTATCATAAGAATCCTATGTCCTTTGAAAAACTGGCTTCCCCCACCCTGCAATTTACCTATATACCTAATTACCTATATACCTAATTATGGGCAATGGGTTAATTAAAACACCGGAGCATATTTCTGCGAATAACACAAAAAAATTTCGCTAATTTCATTGAAAAAACCCGTTTCATATAGATTTAAAAACATAATAATAAATGTGAAGTTAGAAACGTTTTTGTTTATTTAAAGTTGGCAACGACGTGATTCAGAGCATCTCAGACTTGTTCGGGTACCTTCGGCTGTTTCCTTTCGCCCTATTTCGGTTTTGCTTCTTTGGTGTTCTTTGGGTGAAACAACGCCCTATTTTTTGCCGCTGTTTCCCGGTTTTATCTGTTTTTTTGTTACACTATAGTGCGTGATAGATTTAAAAATGGAAAACCTTCTTAAATCTTGGGGTTTAAACGAAGATACAATTAAAGTGTTTAAAGGTAAGTGTTTAATCGTTAATTCTTCCCTTAACTATTTTATATATGGTAATTTTCCATTGGTAAACCTTATTTTAGGAGTTATTTAACGTGTGAAATCAATGTACATACCTACGTTTGTAACAATAGATTGTTAGAAATAGATTTTTTTTTAAAAATCTGTATCAGCGCCTGCATACACCTAAAACTTAATATAAATCATTTTATAAGAAATTTATTTCGAAGAATCTTGGGTTATACAAACCGTGTATAACACGAGATTCTTTGAAATAGATTTCTTATAAAACAATTTATATACATGTCTTTATGTACACGTTTATAACAAATGTAAGGCGTCTAAATGCAAAACCCGACAAGTCACACATTTATAAAATTTGGGTTTTATACAACAGTTTTGTCAGTTCTTTAAAGCTTCCACATTATTTTCTTGCAAATACCGCCAATATTTATAGATACATACACAGACTATTTAAGTCTGTCACAGACTATTTAAGTCTATCACAGACTGTCTGTGGATACATAGATATTTATATCTATTATAGTTTCTCTGAAATCCTGTATATATATGGGTCATTCCATGCAAAAATTACCTATGAAATGAGTTTTCATCTAAGATTTTGCTGAAATTGGAATAATAATAATAATAATAAATTTATTTCTTGTTAACATACATAGTATTTACAATTGTCACTAATATAAACATAAAGGTACGTAGAAATAAAGACTGGTACAATTTGGGTAAAAAATTAAGGGTACATAATACAAGTTACAATAATATTATATCACAGTCATATCACAGTTTAGGAATTCATCATATGAATAGAAAGACTTTGAAATCAAAAATGATTTTAGTAAAGCTTTGTATGAGTTTGGTTTTAGTTTTTTTATTGTTTCAGGTAATTTGTTATAATATTTAGGAGCAAGAAATTTCAATGTCTTTTGCGATTTTGACAGCCTAAAACCTGGCAAAATTAAGTTGTTTTTTGTTCTTGTATTGTAGTGATGTTCGTGCACACTGAAACTGTCAAGGTTGGTTTTTGCGTAAACCAGTACTTCCAAAATATATATTCCCGGAAGGGTAAGTATGTTCAGTTCCGAAAATTTGGACCTGCAGTCTTCAGTGTACCCTAGTCCACCAACAACACGTATTGCCTTGCGTTGTAAAGCAAACACTCTACCCCACTCTGCCGCCTGGCCCCAAACCGGAATTGAGTATGAAATCAGGCTGTGGCAGAGAGAGAAATAGGCCGCCTTAAGTGTTTGCAGGGAAACCGATCTTGCCAGGTTTCTTAGGAGGTATATGTTTTTTGTGAGCTTACTGGAAACAGAGTCAATATGGGCATCCCATTTAAGCTTTGAATCAATCACAACTCCCAAAAATTTTGTGTTATCGCTAAATTTAAACTTGTCTGTAGTTTTTCTGTTAAGAGAGAAATGCATATGAACTGTTTTGTTGTCATTTAAGGTTAATTTGTTCTCATAGAACCAGTCAGAAGCACCCGACTGTACATCGTTAGATTGCATCACCAAGGCTTCCAAATCAGTGTTACTTACAGTGATAGTAGTGTCATCAGCAAAAAGGATATGATCACCTAAGGAATTAAGGTTGGGCAGATCGTTGATATATATTAAAAATAAAATGGGCCCTAGGACTGATCCTTGTTAAGTTAACATATTCCAAAATTTTGTACACATTTAAAAATACTTCCTTGATATAAAAAAAAATTGGCCGACAGTTTTTGAGATGTAGAATTTTCAAAAATTTGACATAACTTTTTGAAAAATTAATCTAGAATTTTTTTTAAATTTTTCTTTTTTTTAATGTATACATGCATAATGTAAATATCTATATCTATAGTTATTTACATAGCCAATAATTATTTTTTTAATGGACAAAATATTTTTCTTTCCTCACGAAAAATTTTTACCTTTAAATCAAACAATGATACAAAAAGGGCAGTTTCACGTGTAAGTAAGCATAACTGCTTTTTTTACTGAAAAATATTCAGCTCAATAATTTGTTTTTTGAAGGCTGGTATCAATGAAGCAATATTGTTTGGTTTATCGTTTTTGCATTTAAGAATCGTGATTGTAGGAATTTTCTATGCTTTTCATGCTCTTCGTATTTCACAAGACACGAAACATTTCCAGAACAATTGTTTAAGTAGGCAAAACAATTTTTCAAGAAAATTCATTTTCATCTTTGAGCCAACGCAGAACATGAACAGCATGAAAAATTCTTACAATCAGGATTCTTAAATGCAAAAACGATAAACCAAACACGTTTGTTTCATTATTACCAGCCCTTAAAAAACAAATTTTGTATCATTTTTTGATTAAACGGCACACATTTTTCTCATGCAAATTGTAAAAAAAATTAAGTTCTGAAATAAACAATGTTCAAATAATTGGTAATTTTTACTGGAAAAATAAAAAAGATTTGCAGCTCCTGATGACAGAAAATCACGAACATATTGAGAGTGCTCGATCAGCGCTATTAGTCGGAGCGCGGTTACAAAAACATTTATAACTTTTGATCTACTAAAAAATAATAACTTTTCCTATTACCAAAATTTTAGTGAGGGATTTTAGAATCGAATAAAGTGTGAAAATTGTTTCTCACAGGCGAAGAGGTTTTATTCATTTTAATTCAATGAATTCAATCGTCAAAAAAAAACGATTTTTTAAACATAAAAAGTGTGTTATTAACGACATATTTTTTTATCGTTAAGTATATTTTTCAATGAAAATTTTGATAAAGATGAACCGTTCGCGATTAATCAATTTTTCAAAAAAAAACTTCATCAAAAATTTTACTTGCACTATTTCAATTTTTTTTTAAATATTTTAGGGAAGTTATTTTGACCTTAAAACAAATCGAAAACTGTCAATCAATAACAAATAAGACCATAGATTTTTAAGTGGCACACTTGGGAAATTTTGACCCATAACCAAATTTATTTATTTTTGTAATATTCATAAGTGTTTCGACTCCATCAACTTTTTTATATTATGACAACGTCTAGTTGTCAGATTACATACTTTTTATGCACACTGTATATTACTTTGCTATCGAAATTTTTAGACAAAATTCTTCTATTTGAATTTTTAGATAATGATATTACGTTGGAAATACTCAACACATTAACTAAAAATGATTTAAAAGAATTAATACCAAACTCATTAGGTATCAGAAGACAAATATCTCTTAAAATTAGTGAGTTGAAAAAGAAGGAAGGCGAAACATCCTCTTGTGGTACAACTGCAGTCACTTATGAAAGTGATTCTTCTGTTATAACGTTGACAGATTGCGACTCCTTTTTTGAAAGTAACACTTTTGTTGATTTTGATTTAAAAACTTTGTTGTCTACTTCTCCTCTGGGTAACAGTATTTTGAAATATTATGAGACTAATGGTCAACTCGACAACACTAGAAGGAACAGATTAGTCGATATAATGATTAAGCATTTATATAACCATATACTTAGAAGGTAATACGTTTTTAAAACTATTTTTAACAATTGGAGAGTGCAGGCTAAAAAAGATGAGGGTCACAAACAAAAGTTTTGAGTAAAATAGATTTTAAAATTTATTTTTCTATCAATGTTACCAGATTATGTCAGAAAAAGTGGTAGATTTTGGTTGAATTTACCTTAATTACAATGGAAAATGTCGATTTAACGTTATTTAATTATTGTTGAATTTACCTTAATGACACAAACAAAATCTGACGATTTTTTAGAATCTGGTAACGCCGATTCCAATATCTTGTTAGAAACCAATTTTACTGGACATTTTCATGTGTTCTGCTCAGTATAGAATGCTAAATGGGAAGTAATAATTTTTGGCCATAATTTAGCAAAATATTGATTTTTATGGACCCTTATCCTTTTTAGCCTGTTAAGGTAGTTTTTTAAATATTATTTTACATTTTCACTTACAAACACCATCTCAACATTTAGATTAACATTTTAATGTATTAACAGTTTTTATATCTTATAAATTATCTATCCTTAAATTAAGGAATTTATATATATATATATATATATATATATATATATATATATATATATATATATATATATAGGACCACTTGACTTCTGGTCTAAAAACATCCCCACTTGGCGTCCTGCTTAATACATATAAAAACTAAATACTTTCTTAGCGTCACATAACTTCCATACTAAAGTCGCCAAAAATAAGATTACTTATGAGTACTTATGAAATTGCAACGTCGCTTTCAACCAATTGAACTAAAATAAGAAACCATCCTTATTTAAGCATATTTGATACATTACTATAATGAAAGGAACTGCAGCTAGTCTAGGTTTTTGTATCTTTCCCTGACAGGTGGCAAAAGTGGTGCATGAAGCAATTTTGCGAAGAAGAAAGAGTATCTTTTTGTTTTGATTTATTATGGACCAAAAAGCCATACAAGAAATATTAAATATTACATAATTAAAACTTAACCTACAATTTATTTCATATAAATAAAACCGGCAGACATGAAAAGATTTTATTTTATACCTAGTTTTAAATGTATCTATCCATGTTTGTTTTAATTTAAAATTTACTTATTAAATTAATATTAGGTATATTCTACTTATGTTAATAATAATACCAAATATTTATTTTGCTTGAAGAAAGCTTTTCTCACAAGTGAAACACAATGTTTTTTCTACGACCCTTTTATTTTTCATTATTTTGAAATACAAAACAAAATAACCTAAAAACGTTTTTGACAGCTGAATGTCAAACAATGCTGTCAATTTCTTTTTACACAAACATGTCACTTTACATTCGAGTTTTGCCTTGCCAATGAAAATATTCATTTTCTAAGCAACGATGTCATTACGAAATGTGACTCTTACATAGTGGTCGTAGAAAAACTATATTTTTAATGTGCACTTTTTTGTGTAGGTATTCTTTATTATAATAGGTTTTTGAGTTTATTTATGATTCCAAAGATATAAAAATATTTTTTTATAAATAATTATAAAAAAATATTTTTTTGTTAAAGTTAAGTTTTTAAAATTGAAAATCTACTTAGGTATTAATAAATTAGATTTGTATTACTTATGTTATGTTATGTTATTGTTGCCATTAAACATATTATATATACACTATATTTTATTAAATTTTTGGTTATACAATATATATGTACTTACATTTTTATTAGCTTTAAGTTTTAACCAAATTACCAAAATTTATTTTATTCAACACAGCAAGAAACATGTAACTTCGTGACCCTACTGACGGTGGGAAAAATAATTAATGTCCTAATTGTTTATTTCTTCAACCCGTGGGCGAAATGTTACTTTTCCCATGGAATGAAGTAAGTAAGCTTTAAATTAAAATAGATGTCAAATGTCAGATAAAATATCAAATAAAACTGGCTTTAAATTACTTGCGCCATAGTTTTTTCGGTTCTTCAATTGTTCATAATTTGTTTTTAGACTGATACCTATGTATATTTTCCTGCTAAGCAAAAGAGCCGTATCAGCTTTATACGGCAGTATAATTCTTGCGGTAGTTAAATAAAATCTTGTGTGCGACTATTCGTAGATATTACACTTTCGTGGTACCTACCGCATTCGCTACGCTCGTGTGGCTAACTTCACGCTCGAGGAATCTGTTTTTAGTCCCACTAGTCGCACATTATACTATTTTTTTCCTTTTTAACATAATGTGAAAAGGATAAAAAAAAGTATATATATGTATACACATTTTAATGTGCGACTAGTATAATGAAATCTATTTTTAAATGTATTTAGCGAAGTTTGCCATCTGTTGATAAAATTTTTTTTGTATTAAAAGTCTACTGATTAAAATAAATAAATAAATGCTCATTTATTTTATATTAAATTATAAAATTTTAAATGTAATTGCTCATACAATATTTATGGCATTAATTTATTATTTGCAAGTTTTAAATAGATATAATTAATTTGATCGAAATATTTGTACTTATTTAAAAAAGTAAATCTCTAAAAAGAATTAATGCAAACCTAAATAGCATTCAATGATTGAATTTCAATCTATTTATAACTTGTTTATATTAACGACACCGTTGTCAAATTTGCTTTTTATTTAAGGGCGCTTGGTAAACCTAAGATTGAAAAGAATGTTATATACACAAGGCGATAGTAGTGACACTCTAACGCAAACCCTTGAATTAAAATATAAACAGAATTCATTAAACGACCAAGTTAAACTCTTTTTAAAATTTAGTTTTTCTGCATCTCACAGCCATCTAGCGCTTATTGGTAAATGTTTTTGGTAGAGTCCAGTCGGCGTCCGTATAACGGACGCCCAGTGACCAAAGGACGCCGTGTGTATACGAAATTTAACATTGGAGGACGCCTAGTGGGATTATATACATATATATATATATATATATATATATATATATAAACCTTCCTCACAAAAAAGACCTCTGGATGAAGACAATCCTGAAACAGAATCTTCCGAGTCCAAAAAAACCAAAGGAAATCTATCCAGTATCCGAACACGTCTACAATCAAAATTATAATAAGTATTATATTGATCTTACCTGTACATTTTTATCTGTTAATTTAATTTTAATTTTGTGCTGTCAAATAATATTAGTCCTTTTTGTAACTTTTTAATTTAATTAATTTTAGTTTGAATTTCTTATATTACCAAATTAATGTGATTCTTTTTTAACTAGTATGTGTCTGAACCGTATATAATTTTGCCATAAACCTGCCTGTAATTTTAAATAATTATTATATTTGATATGAACCCCTATATAAGAGATTTTCAAGAATATCCCAACCAAACCTACTTGTTAAATTCAACTTATGAATGTGGCGAGGTTCTTGGAATAAATACTGGGGTAAGTTCCTTCTCATTATTTCATACGAATATAAGAAGTATATCTAAGAACTTTAACTATTTTATTGTCTACCTGGAAAGTATTAAAACTAACTTTGATTGTATTGTTCTTTCGGAAACGTGGTATGTTGAAGACACGTCACTATATAACATCCCTGGATATACTCTAATATACAATCAAGGAAAGTATAATCAAAATGACGGGGTAATTGTTTATGTTAAAGATTGCTTTAATTTTAGTTTTAAAATTATCAATTTTAATTATTCTAATCTAATTGAAATAGAATTATGTATGAACACAGAAAATATGAAAATTGCATGTATTTATAGGTCGCCTGCATCTGATATTAAACATTTCATAACCGAGTTACAGGAATATCTAGAAAATAATACAAAAAATACAGATGATTTCCATATCTTTACGGGTGATATTAATATTGACTTATTAAAAAATAATAATGATGTAACCACATACCTAGATACTTTTAGTGAATTCAACTTTCAATCAACAATTAACTTACCTACACGAGAGGCGGCATGTTTGGACCACATTTTTCTTAAAAGTAAAGTAAACCACACAGATTTCATCTTACCCGTAATAATAAAATCAACCATCTCAGACCATCGCCCAACTATTTTACAAATTACAAATATAAACAAAAATAATAATAACGCACAATATAAAAATCATATATTTAATACAAACTTTAAAAAACAATATTTTACAACATACCTCATGGTATGAAGTATATAGAACTGGAAGTGTTGAAAAAGCAACAAATGATTTTATTAGCACACTAAAAAATAAAATTGATCTGTGTACTAATATTCAAACTCTGAATCATAAAAAAAGAAAAAGAAAACCTTGGATAACTTCAGCCCTTATTAAGTCCATTAATGCAAAAAATGAAAGCAGGTAAAGCTTGCAAGTTATCCCAATAATTTGGAACTTGAAAGAAATTATAAACAATATAAAAACTTTTTAACTAATCTTATTCGCGAAACAAAGAACAATTATTACAAACAAAAAATAAATCAAAACACATCAAATACTAAAAAATTATGGGACACAATTCGAGAAATAACTTGTGATACCAAAAAAAGGAAATAAAATCGATTAAAAGCGATAATAAATTAATTTATGATTCGGACGAAATTTCAAATTTATTTAATAATCATTACATTAAAGTTGCAGAATTATTAGCTTCAAAAATTAAACAAAACAAAAATCATACTCTTACAATGAGACCACCGCAAAGCAATTCAATTTACTTACAAGAAACAAATCCACAAGAAATTCAAAATATTATAAATTCTTTAAAAAATAAAAAATCGATGGAAATAGATGAAATAAATACTGAAATGATTAAAAATATTAGTAAAAATATAACTACCCCACTCACTCATATTATAAATAAAATATTAGAAACTGGACACTGCCCATCAGTTTTTAAGACTTCCATTATTGTCCCGGTTCTTAAAAGTGGCGATGCCAGTGAGATCGTAAATTATAGGCCTATATCTTTAGTAACATGTCTTGCTAAGATTTTTGAAAAAGTGATAAAAAAAAGATTGGATAATTATCTTAAGAAATTTAACTTAATATCACCAAACCAATTTGGATTTCAGGCTAAAAAATCGACTCAAGACGCAATCGAATTGCTAACAAAAAACATCTATAAAAGCCTAGATGAAGGAACTCCATCCATAAGTGTATTTTTGGACCTAGCCAAAGCATTCAACACAGTTAGTCACCCGATTCTCTTAAAAATTCTCTACAATATAGGTATAAGGGGAACGCCATATAAACTCTTTGAAAGCTACTTAAGTAATAGATTACAATGTGTAAAAATTAATAATTCCATTAGTGGATTCAGAGAGATAAAATATGGTGTTCCCCAGGTGACTGTGCTGGGTCCAGTTTTATTTACGTTATGGATGGGCTTTTCTCAGTGCCTAGTGCTGCAAAGATAGTCAGTTTTGCCGATGATACAGCACTATTTTATAAAGCAGATAACTGGAATAATCTAAAGAACATGGTAGAAAATGACTTAATGGGTATTAAAAATTAGTTTGATGATATGCTACTTTCGATAAATTTTGACAAGACGTGTTACATACCATTTACATGCCTTAATTACAATCTTCCATTATTTAATGAAATTAAAATTGGAGAAACTAACTTTAAAATTAACCAGGAAAGCTCAATTAAATATCTTGGAATAGTGATTGATCAACATTTAAAATGGGAATTGCATATCCAACATGTACTGAAAAAAGTTCGAATTATAATTTATAAATTAAAATACCTTAAACAAATACTGGCCTTCAGTGATCTAAAAATCCTATACCATGCCCTTGTAGAAAGTCACCTATCATATGGAATTATTGGTTGGGGGGAGTATTTGACGTTCATTTGGATCCGCAAAAAAGAATTCTTAAGATAATGCTTAATAAAGATTTAACCTATCCGTCTGACTTGCTATTCTCTGAGACACAAATTTTAAGTGTGAGAAAGTTATACTGTTTGAATTTATGTTTAAATCAATTTAAAAAGAAAGATTACTTACCTGTGTTAGAACATCCTTATGAGACTCACCGTATGAATAAATATGTGGTTCCAAAAATGAAGAAAGTAATTGGTCAACGATCTGCTGCATATTTAAGTCCAAAATTTCTTAATTATATTTTGAGTAATATAACACCTACTGAACACTTCCATTCTTTTAAAAAACATTTAAAAATATTCCTCATTGACACTCCAGAAGGCTCAGTAAATGAATTAATTAATAACCGTACCTGAAATACATTTTAGCCACTACTAGTTCTACTGATATTGAGTATAGAATTTTTTATTATCATAATTGTTATTTACTATGTTTTTACTACTTAATCGTATTTGTTTGTTTTGTGTGTTTAAATTTTTCTTTTCTGTGCTTTAGGATTGTATGTATGATATTATTCTTATTTAAATACTATTTTTTTCTTGTACTTATTTCCCCAGACAAGTTCAGAACTTACGGGGTTATTTTGTATTTATTTTACCTATTATTCTATTTGTAAGTCCTTAATAATGTAAATCTTATATGGTAAATAAATATTAGATATTATTATTATTATTATTATTATTATTATTATATACATAGGTTAAAATACATACGAATTTACATTGATTACTTTTTTCAGACGCTTAAATCATTCAGATTACAACAAATTATCTGCAAAAATAATTAGTCTTTTTTCGAAAGAATCAATCGGAGTATATTACGTTCCTGCAATAAGAAAAGCCGATTCACCGACAGGAAAGTCGATCTTGGCCCGGGGAAAACTTGTGGACAAGTGCCGAAATTTAATTCACAAATGTGAGGAGGCAACACCCATTCGAAAGAAAAGAAAACACAGTGAGGAAGAAAATCAACCTACGCCCGAAGTAACGTCTGTTAGCGAAGATATCGCTGATGATATTTTATGGTTGCAAATTCATAGCGAGCCTTTTGAAGACGTCCTATTGAAGTGGCAAAATACCGTAAAATATCGACTTGACAAAAACAAAGATTTAAAGTATGTGTCGGAATATTTGGACACATGGCCATGCATTAAAAGGAGCAAATATGAAATTCTGGTAGATAACAATGTTTTAAAATACAAAACCCTATATATTATAATTTTTAGATTGAAAGTGACTTTAAATACTTATATTCATCGAAAGAATTAATGCTATATTCCCGTTGGAATAAATTTATAGATGGTGTTATACGTTTGAGAAACAATTCATCAAATAACAAGCATGTACAAGAACTCCTTTTGATGAGGAATGCGACAGAATGTAGAAGTAAGTAGTAATATTACCAAATGTTTTACATTATAAAATTCTATTCTAATTTTAGATGCAAAATTTTTATATGATTTGATCCTATTTCCGCATTTAATACCACCGAAAGGCAGAATTATTGAAGGAAAATCGCATTGGAAGTTTTCCCTTCTTGAAACAACGGAAGCAGTATTAGTTCATGCACAGGTAATATTGATTTGTTTTTTAAGTTGTGTTGAATAGAACAGGAAAGGGAAAACTCGTTTTAATACTTTAATTTTTTTCTAGTCCCCAGGAGATATTGAAAAAATAACAAAAGATCAAAAAACGAAAGCCAAGCATAGAAAGCAAACAGTACAACCTGCACTTAACAACACTGCAATTAAAACTTTTGATATATTGTTTAAGTTATTTGCCGTGTCTAATGCAAAATATCCAGTAGAAGCAAATTATTTGTATACTCTAATACAGAAAGTGGTTTATAATATACATTTTGCAACTGATGTTTTACCACCGCATATAGTTGATCTTGTTGAACAACTTACATTACCAGTACTGTTGGAAATAAATAAAAATTAATTTCATAATACCAAGTTTACAAATTCTCATAAAATGAAGTGTTTCTATTGCAAAAAACCGTTTTTCTTGTTATACAAATATTTGTTTCATATTGAATATGTACATAATGTTCAAAATTATTTTCACTGTCCTATCGAAAACTGTTTAAGATTGTACCATAACAAAAATTTAAAAAAACATTTTAAAACTCATAAATACAAACTTTGCGAGTGTCAAAATACAAAATATAGTCATGTATCTTCATTTAGTACTGAATCAGTTAGTACTGCATCAGCTGGTATCCCAGTTGATAAAAATGAACATTTGCCGTATTTTAGTAATCTAGATTATACCAAGTCCAAAGATTTTCCAAGTATAAAGTTGTCTTTACAGAATTATGAAGAAAATGTTGTTGAATTTATCTCATCCCTCTATAATAACTTGAGTTTATCTCGCAGTAACATTCAAAGTATAATAAAATCTTTAGAATTACTTAATAGTAATCTAATTTGTTTTTTAAAGGAAATATTTTGTTTATTTTGTAAATCAAAACTATCTAAAAATGAAGAAACCATATTAATAAATATAATAGATCAATTGCAGGTGGGTAAGAATTCGTGAAACGGATCACTGTTTTCCCGACTTTGGAAAATACAAAAAACAATTATTGGTTTTTGTAGTACTCATTGATAGTAAAATATTCCCAAATTAAAAAATATATATACGAGCCCTAACCACATAATGTTCGGACACTTCATAATTTATACAGAAATTTTTTTCGTGAATACTATCTCAAAATTATTAGAAGTTATGAAAAATTCAGCTTATTTTGGCATATACCCCTCGAAGCGATTTTTATTTTTAAAAAGTTTACCTTTTATTTTTAGCTTTTAAAAAAAGGCTAACTTTTTAACTTTTTTTTGCATGACTAAAAAAAGTTATAACTGGGCCCATTAAAAAGAACATAAAATATTATACAAACCCTGAAAATTTGGTAAAAATTGTATAAATAATAAGAAAGTTATAGCGATATATATATCTGCAAAATCTCCCGTTTCCTAAGAAAATTGCAAAAACTCTTTAAAAATAGCATTTTTAAATTACTTATACTTTTTTATAACTTATTTATTTTTTACCAAATTTTCAGGGTTTGTATAATATTTTATGCTCTTTTTAATGGGTCCATTTATAACTTTTTTTACTCATACAAAAAAAAGTTAAAAAGTTAGCCTTTTTTTAAAAGCTAAAAATAAAAGGTAAACTTTTTAAAAATAAAAATCGCTTCGAGGGGTATATGCCAAAATAAGCTGAATTTTTCATAACTTCTAATAATTTTGAGATAGTATTCACGAAAAAAATTTCTGTATAAATTATGAAGTGTCCGAACATTATGTGGTTAGGGCTCGTATAAACAATTGTTAAAGTTATTTAAAAAAGAGCGTTTTTGACGATTTTTTTTCGAAAATCTCTCATGGAAATAAAGCCTTTTAATAAAATTTTACCTTTATTGAAAATTCTTCAAAACTTATCAAATTTTCATAAAAAATGTATTTAAATTAAAAAAAAAATTATTTTCAAAAAAAAAATATTATTTATAATAAACAATTTGCATTTTTATAATTTTCTCAATGCTCTTTTTGAAAATCGTGTCAATTTATATTTTCCTTAAAGTCTTTCCAATGAAAAGCTAAAAAAAAAAATTGGATTCTTAATTAAACGATTAATGACATTTGATTTTGTGAGCCCGCGCGACTTTTCTGGCCCTGGCGCTCGAGCGCGCTCCCGACGCGACCCGTCCCATTGCGAAGCGTAATTTATTATAATTATCAATAACTCTGCTGTACTACTAGTACTTGTCATTTAAAAATGATTTTGTAAGACCATTAAATATATATTATAAGTATATATATACACAGGGTGTATCACGTTCGATGGTAGGTTAGACGTTTATTGAGAACGGCAAAAAATATCGAATTGAAATTTTTATAGCAATTATAAAATCATTAAACTATTTTTCTAAATTATTTGGAACAAAATTACTCTTCCGGTTTTAACAGAAGCGATATTAACTTTGTTATTTTAAATGAATCATCACATTTTTTTTACATTATCATTCCTTAATAGTGTTTGAGTTATTAATTTTTTTTGTAAAATTCGGTCAGTTTCACCCTCAACAAAAAAGCTTATAATTTTTTTAATATTAGGTTTATTGATATTCGGTTGGATTTATTGGAATCCTGAAGCATTGTTTTAAATATTCCATGTAATTTATTGTAATATTTCTAAAAAGATACTTGATAAAAAACAATGTGAATGTAGGTAAATTAAAACAGCAATAACTTTTTTATTTTCCATGGAACGCCCTGTATATTTTTACATAATTAAATATAAAATTATAATACCTTTTTATAAATATAACTATTCCCTATACCTAAAGTTAATAATAACAATGATATTTTACAATTCCTATTATTTAATATTTCAAATTTTTAAATATTAGTTTTAAATTAATAAACAATAGAAGTGGAATCTACGAATGTGTTTTCAAAAACTGTATGCATTCATATGAGAAGAAAATAATATATTAATAAAAACAATATATTTTTTTCCGGTGTTTGTACATAAAAGCACCAAAACAAAAAGTAAATATGTCGCTATTATATGTATACATACCTATAGGTATGTGTATAAACGGTTTGATTGAAAGCCCGGTACCTTCATTAAAAGTATATTATTATTTACCAATAAGGTTAAAAATGCATTAATTAAATAAAAAAAATGTTTTAAATTAAAACAAATTGTTAATAAAATAGTTAAAATGAAAGAAAATCACTACACGGAAAAAAATCCCTTACTAGGTTTAAGAATAGTTCTATACTTTATGTTAGGAACTTGATTTAAGTATATTTATTATTTCTATGAGATTAGCGTACATTTAAACTAAGTAGTGGGATATACTTAAGAAAAACGGTTACTTGATTTAAGATGAGTATTCTTGGATTGAGTTTAAAGGTATTTTATTTTAAAGAAAATTGGTATACTTAAATCAAATATACAATAATGCTTAGATGAATATATTTAAATTAAGTTTTGATGAACTAGTTTATTCTTCATGGACAATATGAAAAACTTATTGCTAGAACATGCAGAAACTTGTTGTATGTTGTATCTTTAATTTGGTTATCCATTAAGAATAAATATTTTTATCAATTTCTTTTGAGTAGATATTTTCCTTTATTTTAATAATATTAAATATCGGGAAAGTTTTGTTGTTCATACCAAATTAATACTCATGAGCAACATTTTATTAGTTTTTCTTCATATTATTAGGGTAATTGTAAAATATCTTTCTTAATATTAACTTTAGGTATAGGGAATATTTCAATCAATCAATGAAAAGGTATTATAATTTCATATTTAATTATGTAAAAATGTTCCATTGAGAATAAACAAGTTATTGCTGTTTTAAGTTAGCTACATTCACATTGTTTTATCAAGTATCTTTTTAGAAATATTACAATAAATTACATGAAATATTTAAAACAATGCTTCAGGATTCCAATAAATCCAACCGAATATCAGTAAACATAATATTAAAAAAGTTATAAGCTTTTATGTTGAGGTTGAAACTGACCGAATTTTACAAAAAAAAATTAATAACTCAAAAACTATTAAGTTTAGGTATAGGACATGGTATAGCCATTTTATAAGGAATGATAATGTAAAAAAAATAATATAATAATAATAATATTTAAAATAACAAAGTTGATTTCGCTTCTGTTAAAACCGGAAGAGTAATTTAGTTCAAAATAATTTAGAAAAATAGTTTAAATGATTTTATAATTGCTATAAAAATTTCAATTCGATATTTTTTGCCGTTCTCCATAAACGTCTAACCTACCATCGAACGTGATACACCCTGTGTATATATATACTTATAATATATATTTAATGGTCTTACAAAATCATTTTTAAATGACAAGTACTAGTAGTACAGCAGAGTTATTGATAATTATAATAAATTACGCTTCGCAATGGCACGGGTCGCGTCGGGAGCGCGCTCGAGCGCCAGGGCCAGAAAAGTCGCGCGGGCTCACAAAATCAAATGTCATTAATCGTTTAATTAAGAATCCAATTTTTTTTTTTTAGTTTTTCATTGGAAAGAAATTAAGGAAAATATAAATTAACACGATTTTCAAAAAGAGCATTGAGAAAATTATAAAAATGCAAATTGTTTATTATAAATAATTTTTTTTTATGAAAATAATTTTTTTTTTAATTTAAATATATTTTTTATGAAAATTTGATAAGTTTTGAAGAATTTTCAATAAAGTTAAAATTTTATTAAAATGCTTTATTTCCATGAGAAATTTTCGAAAAAAAATCGTCAAAAACGCTCATTGTTAAATAACTTTTATAATTGTTTATATATATTTTTTTTAATTTGGGAATATTTTACTATCAATGAGTACTACAAAAACCAATAATTGTTTTTTGTATTTTCCAAAGTCGGGAAAACAGTGATCCGTTTCACGAATTCTCACCCAGGTTCCTTTACAGAATTTAAATACAGAATACAAACGTAATGTTTTTTTTGAAAACTCAAAGACTTTTATAAAACCCTGTGAATATAAAATTGGTAACTTACC